ACTACCTTGGTATAGTTCAGTTGCTATGAGTATCGATGTATTTATGATACGAAGAAACTAACCTGATGTACATCCCGGAGTCTCTCATCGTAATATATAAACAAGAACTCTTTCCTCTAACAAGGGTAGGAAGTACTGATGTACATCCCAGAGTCTCTCATCGAAATATATAAACACACTCTTTCCTCTAACAAGGGTAGGAAGTACTACTTGTATGTGTAATGGAAATTTGACTTTTAGCTATAATGATTTGAAAGAATGTCACAAGAATTTACTTCTTAATAAAAGACAAATAAAACTGCGAAATATTTATTATTGTATAAGCATTTTTTATTCACGTTTTTTTCTTTTTCAAATTTGCGGTAATGTATACTTTTATTACAATTTTTTTTTTGTTGTAAAATTTGGATAATGTAGAATTTATTTATTTAAATAAAATAATAAATTTAAATATCTAAAGTTTGTTTTAAACATACATTTACAAAGTAATTTTAAGGTCTCTAAATAAATAATCATTAAAAATATTTGATTTATATTCTTAAATAAATTTTGAAAATATTAAAACGTTGTTTTGTTGTTAATTTTTTCCAAAATAATATAAATGAATATACTCAATATTTAATTTTTATTTTTGTCAATGTTTTTTATTTTATCTTGGATTAAATTCAAAATGTAAACATTTAATTTTATTCCGTATAATTGTTTTTAAAACAAATACGTTTCTACTTGCTGTTGTATTTAGAAAAAGCTTAGCACTGTGCTGATTACAATTTCATATAACTTTTACAAAATAATTCTTAATATTTACAATACATATATCTGATAAAATATTCTCACGTTCAAGGCAAATTTATCTTTTGCACAAAAAATTAAAATGAATTTTCCTTTGTATTTAATTATGAAACTTTCTTTTTAAACTTTCTTTAGGTGTGAAATAAAAAAAAATTCAGATATATTCAAATTCAAAAATACTGAAAAAGATGAAATTAATATATTTCCATCTAATAATTTATATTAAAGATTAATTTTGATAAAAACTAAAAAATAAAAAAAAATGAATTCCCAAATAATTTTTAAAAAAATTATTAAAGAAAATTAAAATGTCAAATAAATAAATATAAATTAAAATAACATAAAATAAAATTAAATTGAAATAAAATTACACAATATAAAAATAAAATAAAAATGAAATAGAAAAAAAAATTAAATAAACTAAAATTAAAATGAAAATAAAATATATATAAAATAAAAATAAATTAAAAATAAACTAGAATAACACAAAATAAAATACAATAAAATAAAAATAAAAATAAAATAAAATATATAAATAAAATAAATAAATAAAATATAAACAAAATTAAAATAGAAATAAAGTAAAAATAAAATAAAAATTAAATAAAATAAAATGAAAAGAAAATAAAATAAAGTAATATGAAAAATAAAAAAATTACTAACATGTAAAGAATAAAATAATAATAAAATAAACTAATATGAAAAACAAAAATAATCCCGAATATATAAAAAATAAAATTAAGCTTAAAATATAAAATTAAAAAAATTATATAAAACACCTACAAAATACATTAATAAAAATAAAAAATTAGGCATCATTAAAAAAAACATTAAATACAAATAATGAAAAATCAAATAAATATAATTAATACATATGTCTAAAAAATTCAACGAATATATAATTTCAAAATACAAAAAAAAAAAAAATAATAAAAAGTTTTTAAAGTATCATTTGAATTTCTAATTAAAATCATTTTTCATGTGGCTACTGTTATTTTATTTATTTTTGAAATATTAAGCAAATCATCTTCAAGAAACTGACAATTATTTAATAACAAATTTATTTAACTTAATGAAATTTAGCGTGAAGTTCTTAATTATATAATGAAATATTTAATAAAAGTAATTTAATGTTTTTTATATAATTAAGAAATAAATTATGTATATATATGTATATAACAAATATTTTTATATAAAAAATAGTTATATATTTTTATAATGAATTTATAACTATACATAGTAAATATGTTTTTTAATAAATAAAAAATGTACCAATACTTTTTAGATACTCTATAAAACAAACAATAATAATAAAATTATATAAAATAATTTTTTTAAAAACTATTGCTTAAAAAATTATATACATATTAAAATAATATTATTAAACTATATAAGCAGTTGTTAATCAAAGCAAACGAAAATCATATAAAAATATTTTTAAGTTTTAATGCATTATGCGTTATCAGACTATAGCTTGTAAGATAATAAGGATATAAACAAATATTTAATTTTAATTTATTTAACTGCTATATAGTCTATTATTAGTATTATATTAGTAGCGTAACATAGATATAGAGTATTTTTCGCTTTAAATATACTTTTGAATAAACCGAACTAAAACAAACTTCACTTAGAAAAGTCTTTAAAGATGGGTTCAAGTAAAAAGTGCTGTATAAATAAAAATCGTATATATTATACATTTATCTATTTAAAAAAAAAGACTTGTAGTTATATAAACCACAATATCATTAAAAATAATAAGACTCATTATTAACATTATTTTTATATTAAAATTAATTATATTTAATGTATAGAAAATAAAATTAGTAGTATAATAAAAATAATCTTAAAATTAATATTAAATATTAATATTAATATTTAAAGATGGGTTTAAGTAAAAAGTGTTGTATAAATAAAAATCATACATTTATCTATTTAAAAAAAACAAGATTTCTAGTTAGATAAAACATAATATAATTAAAAATTATAAGATTTATTATTAACATAATTTTTATATCAAAATTAATTATATATAATATGTTAAAAATAATATTAGTAATATAATACAAATAATATTAAATAAAGAAATAAAATAAAATATTAATATTAATATTTAAAGATGGGTTTAAGCAAAAAGTGTTGTATAAATAAAAATCGAATATTTATCTCTTTTTCAAAAGAAAAAACGACTTCTTGTTAGATAAAATACAATATCATTAAAAATAATAAGATTCATTATTAACATAATTTATATATTAAAATTATTATATTTAATATGTAGAAAATAATGTCAGTAATATAATAAAAATAATATTAAAACATCAGCAATATAAAACTAATAAATAAAATAAAACAAGTTTGATATTTCTTATTTGTAGTGTTCTTGATCTTTATTATGAAATATTTATTTTTATGACTTGATGAGCAGTACTTTTTAAACTGAAAACATTTTAAATAAATTTTTATGAAAAACAGCGAATCGATATAAGATAAATTTAAATTTCAAAACAAACATATCTCATTTGCAGATAGTAAATTAGTTTTAATTTTTTAAATTTTCACTTGGGCCCCTTTCACAGTCATAGGCACATACGTGTATATATGGTATGTTAAAATTAAATTTTTAACAATGAAGTGATGCTTTCTCAATATAATATACAAATTTTGTTCAAAAACCAGCTTATAAATCACAAATCCTTTTAAAACACGCATATTTTTTCTTCATACATTTTATCATTTATCATTTATCAGTTATCATTTTATCTTTTAATATTTAATTTATTATTTTCACTAATAATAAATTTTTGTATAATTTAGTTTTTTACAGTCTCATTGTATTAGATTAATTTATTAATTTTAATAAATCTTCTTGTTGTTGTGCTTGTTCCAAAGTATAAGTGGGACTTTTATTAAATTAGCAAAATATATATTTTATTTTGGTACGCAAATATTCTTTTTGTTTGCGTTTTATAGAAAATCTATAGCATTTTTTTTCTTTAACACATTACTCAATAAGTCAACGATCTAAATAAGTACAACAACAAATTTGACATTATTCATCAACATAGGCAACATTGAAAGGTAATAAATTTATTCCAACGCCTCTATTACTTTTCGATGCCTTTTCATAGAACGATATGCACATGCTCTCAAATTATACTGCAATTTTGGCAATCACTTTACGGTCTTTCAAAACTATTTGTGGATTTATTTATGTTCTCCGGAAGAACTGTCGATTTTATAAAACTATTTTTTAAATTAGCATATCAGGCAGTAATAGCTGATGTCTGTATAACGTTTATTAAGTCAGTTTGATTTCAACAGTATTATTCTCCTTCAAAAAATACTGTTTAATCAATAAACGATATTCGATTTTATCTATAGGTGTTTTATCTATTACAGAACTGCCGTTACCGAAACCACTATAAACTGTAATTATAATTAACAGAATATGATGAATATTAGACATGTATTGTTTGAAGAATGCTGCTCTCCACATATCATTTGTCTACACTGTTGCCATATATGTATTAGATCGAAGTCTTATTGAGCGATGTATATAAAAATTTAAATTATGTAAATTATGTGTTTGTAAGTGTGCTAAGTGTTTGTAAATTGAAATGAACAATATTATAATAAAAACTCAATATTGAAATGCAACTTAATATTTAAATCCGAAATATATTTACATAAAATTTAGGATGATTTCGAATTTTGAATTATAACATTAAAAATGATATAAATAATATATTTTAAATATTGTATATAAAAAAGAAATTGCTTAGAATTTTGCTTACATTATTTTTCATATATATTATCGAAGTATGTATATTGTGTAGTGCAAATAGCAATTAATGTGCGGTTTATTTGCTGGAAAAAATGTTCCTTTATTTTTTAGAAGTTTTATTGCTTTTGTTAAATATTCAAGATATTTTTTATTTTTAAATTATTATTGTATTGCTTTAATGATATTTTAGTTTAGATACTTTTAAATTCAAAAAATCAAAATTTAATAATACTTATAATAGAACGTAATTAAATATAACAAGAGAATATTTAGATTTTTTTAAGACTATAAATCCTAATTGCACTATTTTTTAATATATTTTGCTTTCTATACACACTTCAAAAGCTGCAAACGCAACTGTAAAGCCCGTCTTAACTTTTACTTTGTTTTTGTTTTTAGTTTTTATGCACTTGTTCTTTAGTTTTTTTTTTTTTACTTTAAGCTTTAATAGTCAAGTCTGTCCGTTGTCGTTGTATTTGTCGATGAAGTTGTTGTTGTTTTTGGAGAATCGAGATAAATTTTTAATGCACGTTCACGGCGGGGTGAGTACGATGATGTTGTAGATGAGATACAACCCATACGATCAAGGCGATGTTTTTCTTTGGCGCATAATTCAAATCGCTCCTCTGACGACAGTTCTTTTGTTTCTTCCATTGCATCTCTATTACAAAAAAACAAAAAATACATGAATGAATGGATCGATAGAACTCTTTTAGCACAGTAATTGTACTTTAAAATTGCAGGACTTACTTGTAGAAGTAAATATTACCACTAACCGTTGCAGAAAGTGGATATTTATCTATTGTCACCGGTATTGATGTCCAGCTCATATTAGTATTAATACTCACTAGTGATATATTTGTACATGGGAAGGAACTGTTCACCTAAAAATATTAAAAATACAACATTAGTATTTCATTAAATTTCATTAAGTGATTAATGAAATTTTTATTACTTACTTTACAATATGAAATGTGATCAGTTTCGATACCAGATAATTTAGATAATGTTTCCCTCAACTCGTCATCCTCTGCAATATAAGAAAAAAATATATAAATGTATACGAATAATGGATAGAAAAGCTTATTAAAAAAAACTTATATATCGAATTTATACATAACCTTAGATAATTTCATTACTTACTATTTAACGTTATTTCTTCGAATTTTCCCAACTCCATTTTAGCTGGATACCATCTTCTTACGAATAGCGTTAAACTAACTTCATGCGGTTGTGGGCTAATGCCATTTTCACATTCTTGCACAAGAAAC